AGCTCTCTTTTTAAGGCAAACATTACATATTTTATTTTAAATAAGAATGATAATCTGCCTATTCTCTCAAATAATATAAAAAGAAAAAGCAAGTAACCTTATTGTTTTCTGTGTGTAGCAAGTTTTAATTTACAATTTCACTTCTTTATTCTCTCTCTTAAGTTTATTATATATGAGGAATAAAGAAAAGTGAAGTGTGTGGTAAGAGAGAAAAGTAATTTTATGGCTAGCCACAATCTGCTGACATATCAGTACATACATTTGGGACAATAATTAGCAGGTAATAAAAGGTGTTTTTCCTGGCAGGTAAATGGTCTCAAGACACACTTTTTATGCCTATTTTATGAGAATTAGACTCAAGTGATCCTGATGATATGTTAAGAATGGATTAGAATAATAGCACCACAACTATTATACAAGTAATAAAATTAGTGTTGTTATTGGTTTATAACTAAGTAAAAAGAAAATAGAGCTAGTAAATATCTATCATTAATTCTTATAAAATTTGGATTTTGATACCTACCCTTTCACCTATTATTCATATAACTGTATGAAAAAATTATTACCAAAAATTGATTAATTAACATAACTGAATGAATTCTGTTTGAATTTATGAGAAAACTAACTTTGACTATTTTGATGTAATTATAGTACTTACTTTTGGATATATACAATAAAGAAAGCCAGAATTCCTCAATATCTACATATACAAATTAGTAAATACATCATTAAGATTTAAATAAGCATTTGGCATCTCCTAAAGCAATACAAGTGATATGAGCCACAAATGCAAATACAGCTAGCCGTCTAGGACCTTTTCAGTGACTATGTAACAAGCTAACCAAAACTCTGTAGGTAAAGAGCATATGTATGTACAGAAAAGAATGATAAAGTTCTTAAGCATCCTTAAAAAGTTACAGATAATCTCAAAGATGAACAAATAATTACAATGTTACAAACTACATTAGGATTTTACGCAGAAACAAAAACCAATGGGATACATGGAGTCAGAGAAAGAGGGAGGTAGGAGAGGGAGCAATTGAGAATAATTTATTAGAGGGAATTAGCTCATGGTATTGTAGAAGCCAACAAGCAGTCATTCCCAGGGCAGGCTGGGAACTGACAGGGATTCTACGTTACAATATTAAAGAAAGATTTCTTCCTTTTTCAGAAAACCATAGTATTTGCTCTTAAGGCCTTTAATTGATAGGATGAGAGGTCCATCCAATCAGTTGATTGATTGGATGAGGTCCATTCTTTACTTAAAATCAACTCATTACAAATGTTAATAAAATCCACAAGACACCTTCACAATAATATTTAGACCAAAGTTTGACCAAACACTATAGCCTAGCAAAGTTGATACATAAAATAAACTATCACATAAACCTAACAGGTTTTACTTATCAAATTATAAGTTCAAAATTTGTGGGTAAAGGCTCAGTGAACGAGTATCTTATTGTATTGCTTATTGCACTTCATCATACTAAACCACCTATGGTCCTCCAAATGGCCTGTGGCCATCTTGAGTGCTCTCCACTTAGTATTTCTCATTGATGGAAACCGGATGACTTTCCATTTATTTAGGTTATCTTTAATTTATTTCAGTGATGTTTTATAGTTTTCAGTGTATAAGTCTTTTACCTCCTTAGTTAAATTTATTGCTAGGTGTTTTATTCTAAGTTGCTATTGTAATTTGAATTGCTTTCTTAATTTCTTTCTTGATTGGTTCATTGCAGGTATATGGAAACACTACTGATTTTTGTGTGTTAATCTTTTAACCTACAACTTTCGTATGAAAGCTTTTGTAGTTGGGCTACAACATAGCTTAGTGCTATGAATTCATTTACTAGTTCTGGTGTTGGCTATATTCAACAAGAAATTATTGAATATTTTTTTTAAATGACAAATTTAGCACTGAATCCACGGGAAAAAGATAATTCACAAGCAATGAATTACAGGTAATAAAAAAAGACCAGAAAATTGGGACTTGCAGGGGCAACCATCTTCCTAACCTCAATTTTAAAGAAATAATTGAGAAGACATTTGAGAAACAAAAACCAAATAAATTCAGCTTTGCCACAGGTATCAAAACCAACGGTATACTATGAGGCTGTAAAAAGAAGGAAATCTTACCTTTTGCAATAGGATATATGGACCTGGGGATTATTATGCTAAGTGAAATAAGACAGTCAGAGGGACAAATACCATATGATCTCACCTACATGTGGAATCTAATGAACAAAATAAATTGATGAACAAAATAGAAACAGAGGCATGGATACATGGGACAGACTGATAGGTCTCACAGGGGAGAGGGGGACTAGATGAAAGAAGGTGAAGGGATCAGCCCAAGAACATGTATGCGTAACACACAGTCAAGAGTGTGGTGACCGCCTGGGGAAGAAGGGGGGTGCCGGGCAGAGGAGGGCAAAGGCAGGGCAAAGGGAGACATCTGTAATAATGTCAACAATAAAAACAAAGGAAAAGAACAACCAAGTGTACATTAGTCATATTCATTGTTAAACAGTCAATTGATTAAGGTGTTTCTAAGCAAAGACCCAATAAGGCTGTGACTGTATGTACTATATATACTTTCATTTGGACCAAATGGTTTAGGGAAAAGAGATCATTGGGGTTTCTTTAAGCCAGGTTTCATAAATAAAGTTATTCTTCATCAGGAAAAGAGAGAGACACAGACAGCCAAGCATGAGGGAGGAAAGCATATAAACACAATCAATCTAGGAAGTCGGCCTCTGAAGTAACCGGGGACTCGGTTTGCCTTTGCTAAATGAAGCTCACCGTAACCAAATAGATAAGAAGCTAAAAGAACCATCCCTCAGAGCTATGACTATTTGCTACCTAGAATGACCCATGGCTCCCAATTTTCTGTAGGCAGAAAGTGGCAGAAAAATGGTATAATCTCCAATCGTACATTAGATATAGCCAACAAAGACTCTAAAATTTTTAAAACTTACAAGGTCATAAAAAACAATGGACTAGAAACCTGTTCCTAAATCATGGAAAATCAAAGAGCAGTCCTATCCCCAACGCAGATTCTCACTTAACCTGTCCGTTGAGATTTTAGAATTGCTACATACTAATGATTGCTGTGCATCTCTGGTTTTTAATATTTGCTACTGAGTGGTTAGAGTACATACCCTACCTTTGTCTCACTGCTGTATACTAGATTTGCTGTAGGTAAACATATATTTTAGTTTCTAGGTCATCAGGTCAAAAAGAACTATATATCTGGACCTGATAATATAGAAACTGTAGCACATGATTTACCACCTATCACCCAGAAATCTGGACTTTTGAGCCTGAGGCATTAGCTGGCTAGATCTTTCAGATTTTCACTCACAGCAATAGGATAAGTAAATCCACCTGAGATGGCGGCTCACTATTTGGTGACCAAAAGAGCAGAACTGTGGTATATTAGTGCTATTTAGCATATATTTCCTGCTCTTTCCCTTCCAGGTTCAAGGCAGGATCTCACTCCGTGGCCCCATTGTGACAGGGGGAAGGGAGAGGGCATTGTGAACAGATTGTGAACATAAATTGGGAATGGAGGTGTCATTTCCAGTCCAGAATATTGAATTATTGGTAGGAAATCTGACTGGGCTTGTTTTCACTATGCAACAATAACAGATAATGTTTTATGGAGGAATGAAATTATCAAGCTACTTCCTAGGCTTAGGACAACATAAGACCAAGCCCCAAGATAACCCTCAGTGCATGTTTAGCATGAATGAGATATAAATCTTGCCATCTAAAGCCAGAGACTTTAGGGTATAACCTAGCCTGTCCTGGGCTAATACATACCTTACACTGTTCTATGTTCTATGTTCATAGTGCTATGACCTTAATTTTTCTCTGTGATTTTTCTGTTATATTATGAAGTCACACAACTTCATATCTGAGACAACCTAGTAGTTCACCACCCAAAAGAGTTTAATTGCTAGATCAAATTTATAAAATTCCTTGTGTATTTCCTCTTTCAAGCCATTTATCAAAATGAAACTGGAAAATATTTTATAGAACCGCCTCCTATCTTGGGGATGCAGTAGCATATTTATAAATCTCCATTTAATGCCCTGGCTGGTATGGCTCAGTGGACTAAGCACTGGCCTGCAAACCAAAGGGTTGTGGGTTCAATTCCCAGTCAGGGTGCAAGCCTGGGTTGTAGGGTAGGTCCCCAAGTGGGGGCATGTGAGAGGCAACCAAACAGTGTTTCTCTTACACATAGATGTTTCTCTCTCTTTCTCCCTCTTTTGCCCTCTCTAAAAATAAATAAAATTTAAAAATAAATAAATAAATTGTATACCTAATTCTCTTTTCCTAATTCTTAGTTTATTTTCTTTCCATGACACAAAATAGGTCCTTTAAATAAAATTGATTTTATTTTCACCTACCAAGTTTTGTCATTCAAAACTGTTGCTGAGGATTTCCTGCATTATTATTTATATTATGACACATCAATAAATGCTCTTCAACTGATTATTTAATGTAAATCAGCTAGTTGTGTCTTTAATGCCTTCTAAGACATTAAATCAGAAAAAGAAAAAAATTCAGTGGAAAAATTCAAATAGAAATCAATGCCAAATATGCAACAAAAGGTAACTCAAGCATAAATACTTCTAAATATTCAAAAATTTTTTTATAAATCTTATAGCATTAAAATAATTACACATTCTACAACAGATTTATAGCCATCTATTTGCCTCTCTTATCTGGTGAATACAATAATACTATAACTCAGAAATTAACATAAGAATTATTAATTTGAGGAAGTCTCACATATTTTAGCCCTTCAGCCCTATTTTTAGTCTATCATAAAATTCCCAAACTTTAGCATTGAGTTTACATAAGCATATTTTTTTCTCCAAAATACACCATGGAAAGTAAATGGTACGAAACTGAATAAATAGTTATAAAGCTCTCAGGAGAGGAGAGGCAGAAGAAAAGTATAAATATATAATGGATGTGCAGTTTTTTACCTGAGCATTTAACAACTCCTCACACTTGTGTGCTTGTTTCTCTAGTGCAGAAAAGTACTGTTTTTCAATAGCTTCTACTTGTTGCTTAACTGAAGACTGCAGTAGTGCCTAAAAACAAATAAAAAAATAGTCATTTGGATCATAGACAAACTTGGAGTCCACTGTTGGCATGAGAATTTTTTGAGAGTTGTACATATGTGAAATATGATCCTCTTCTACATTAGAAAATACACATTTGTGAATATTAAAGCACGTTCATATAAAACAGTACTTTAAGCTTTGGGGTTTAAGTTTTCTTATTACCAAGACTACAGTTTTTTTGGCCAGATGTTCCTTCCACACACCTCTCCTTAAAAAAGACCAAGTCATAGAAGATGATAAAGAGAGTGAGTAGTTCTGTTAAATATAAATTCGGTTAAGTGAAGACCACACAGGATGAGGAGTGTATGAAAGCTTCTGAAAAAAAAAGAAAGAAAGAAAAAAACCCAGACATATTTCACTGGCTGACAAAACTCTACATCCTCTCGGCACACTGTAATATCCCATGGGCCAAGCATGGTCTTCAAGACCACAAGTCAAGTAAAAGCAGATGGAAACTCTGAGGAATTTCAAACATAAAAGAACTGCCCCCCAGGAAATTCACACCCCTAATGTGGAAAGGTATAAGTCAAAGTGGGGAAGTTAGTCGGAATCTCAAGGCAGTATTTGTAAAAAGTAATAAAACTTGGGAGAAGGGACAAACTTAAGTAGGTAGTGTAAGGGCTGGCCCCCTCAGTCAGTTAAATACAAAGACGTAAACACTATCCTAAGGGAAGCCAAATCAGCGTTTGAAGATGGTCCACCCGCTCACTTCCTTATTGTCGATGCTTGGAATATTATCATCTTTTTTCCCCTTTCTTTTTTTTTTTAAAGCATTATATGTTATACTTAACATGTTCCCAATATTATCTTACATGCTATTTATAAACCCCAAATCAGTCTAAAATATGTACTCAACCATATATATAAGAACTCTTAAGCAAATATTCTATTTTTGAAGGTCTATCTGGATAATAAACTACTCATACAAAATAGTAAGTTGAAACAGGCACATGTCTTATAGAAAACAGACATTTGGCACATTCACCATAAAAGAAAAATAAGCCAAATCTCTTAAATAATCTGTTATGAAAATAGATTTACTTCGTTGGAAACAACATGCATTAAGAAGCTAAATAAATATGCATGTATTTAAATAAAACTAAGATAAAATATTTTTTAAACCTCTGGATAAGCCTCAGATTTTCAGATAATCAACTTTTCCTTTCAAATGTTAGACTGTCTGATGATGCCACTCCTCCTATAACTCAATAGTCATCATTCTGAAGCTGCAGAATTACTAGGAAAGTAATAAAGGAAAATAGAGCTCTGACTGAGGTTTAACGAAAATATAAGAACTGCTTAATAGAACTGCTTTACCCCTTCATTAACAGTTTGTCCTCTAAAGATTCCATAATAATTAATTTATATAAGGCACCAAAATGTAACCTCTTAAATTGTGACTAGATAATGCGAAGCTCTAATTTACCTTTGGCAAAATATAATATGCTATTTGTTGGACTTCAGGAAAATTTAAAGAATGGTATAGTTACAGACAATTTCCTTGGGTATATTCACTACATCTTTTGTAGAGGGAAAATTGCCACTCTTTTTGTGGACTTGGGATATGACAGCTGTTTTGCTTAATTGTAAGAACTGTTTTCACTTCCCTATTTTCCATTGCTCTAAACAATCCCATAGTTTAAATACCCAATTGTGATTTTTAGTAGATTATATATACTTTGGAGGGACAAGTTCATAAAATAATTTTCTCATTGTAATTAAGAAACACTGTTGAATAGTATATTTTTCCTCTAGTAATTGATCTGTACACCATATATTTGTTTTCTTCCAAACTTCAATGAGGCAAGTAGTACAGGATAATAAGTCAAGTAAGAGCCAAAGTTGTGGTTATGGACCATGGAGAAAAGCTATGCACAAGTAACTAGCCTTTCATATAGTTCAAACCTCTCATCTTAGCTCCATTCAGCTATTTAAATCCACCCGTCTACCAAAGAGACCTGAAGGTAAGTCCTGAGAACATGAATATTTTTTTAAAAAGTCTGTTCTTACTGAGTTCTTTCTATTTTAAAAAAGAAACAATCTCTAGATAACCACACACCATAGGTATATGAACGGTGTGTATCAGAGAAAGAAAAGATTCCAAAAGCCTGCTTGTAAAACTCACTGCTATACACAGAAAACATTAAATAGGTAAGAACAGCTTGAGCCCTGGCCGGATGGCTTAGTTGATTGGGGCATTGTCCCATACACCAAGAGGTTACAGGTTCGATTCCCAGTCAGGGCAAATACCTAGCCTGAGGGTTTGATCCCCCATTCATGGTGTGTATAGGAGACAATTGATTCATGTTGCTCTCTCACATAGATGTTTTGCTTTCTCTCCCCCCTTCCTCTCTCTCTAAAATCAATAAAAACATATCATAGAGTGAGAATTAAAAAATAATAAAAGGAAAAAGAATAGCTTGAATTAAGAGTAGAGGCAAACAGTAATGCAGGAAGGTACAAAAATAGGCAGGTGCCAGATATTAAAAGAGCTTGTATGCTTTAACAAGGTAGTTTAAAAATGTGTCCTAAATTATTCAACAGTGGGATTATTAGTACCACACTCCAAACAAAGGAGGTAATTTACACAAACTACTCTCACAACTAGAATATTAACCATTATGGACATACTTACAAATATACATTTGGTACTAGCTGCCTGCTTTTACAGCTTGATCTATCATTATAAAACTGGATGTTTATTTTCCAGTGTAATACACCATAATAATCACCTTTAAATTTCTCATATGTTGTAAATATAAAAATAAACATTAATCTTAATATTTCCCTGCAATTTATTTTTTTCTCTGTAATTGTCTATACAGATACCAAAGACACAAGGAAGACTTGTTGTGGGTTTATGCAAAAATACAGAAAGATATAATGAAGATTTCCTTCATATGACCTTTTTAAACTATTTTCAATAAATATAAAGCATTAAGACTCATGATATGTAGAGGCAGAAAAACAAAGATATATACAAACATTTCATAACAAAAAAAAAATGCTACCAAAGGCAGGGAATGCTGTTAATTTTCAGCATACTTAGGTTTTAGCCACAGATCTACCAGATTTTCTGTATCATCCCAAGCAATTTAATTTACTGAACTTGAGGAAAACTAGTTATCATCCTTCTTTAACAGTAGTTTTAAAGATGTGAGTAAGATTGTAGGTTCCTTTAGCGCAGGGGCCTACACTGAAGGAACGCACAATTTCTTAAAGAGTTCCTTGTACACAGTAGACACAATACAATAGCTCTTTGGTGAGTAATGATTCTTGTATAAAGATTAACTTTTTTTTTTAAATCATAGTATAAATGTACTGATATTCATTGAAAAGTTCACTAGGCTTCAAATTATAACTGCCAAGTTCAGTTACCAAATTTGTTGCTGAGTATATTTAATCTCTTCCAGGGATTTCAACTTTTTATGCTATTTTAGACTATCAATGTCTAATCTTTCTACTCTTCAAGATAAATTTTGAGTAAATAAAGTGTGTAAAAGACTGCAGTATGTCATAAATTCTACAATTATTAAACTCAAAGAAAAGGATATTAGGTCAAAAACTACCCCAAACCAATATACGCTGGAACGCAAATGAGCAGAGAAGTAGGACCACAGCAGGCCGCTGCAGCCCAAACTACTCTGTTGACCCAACAAATACAGACTTTTTCCTACCTTGAAATATCCCAATTGCTACAGATCTTATTCCAGCCTTATCAAATTAAATGAATTGTCCAAATTAGTAGAGAAGACATATTTAAGGAACCAGATGGTCTCTGGAACATGAATATCATGCTGGTATTTACTATACAACCTTAGAAGAACACTTTGTAGCTAATTTTAGACAACAATAACTAGATTATTTTACAAATCACACAAAAAATGTATCTGTGAATTCTCCAAGTCATACTTGACAAATAATTCACTAAGTTATTCAACCACTTTTTCCATAAGCTTTATATGCCTATTTTACAAATAAATGGACACTGGGGTTAAGAAATGTGCCTAAAATCAAACTAAAAGACTCAGTGGAACAAATAGCTGAATTCAGATCCACTCACTTGGTTCCCTATGTGTCTTAGCTGTTCTAACTCAATAAAGCAGATTTCTCTTTGTGTATTAAGCACTTATTTGATTTTTATAGCCTCTCATTTATTTATTCATTCTGCTCTTATTCAGCTAATATTTGCTAAAGGTGCACTTTATTCCAAACACTGTTCTAGATACTGGCCACACAGACTTGAACAAATCAGACATGAGCCTCTCCTGAATTTATACGATGGCAAGGGGCGGGGGAGGGTAAGAAAGACTGCAAGGCAGACAATAAACAAACATTTTGATGGTGATACATCTGTGGAGGAAATAAAAAGGAGTAAAAAAGAAACGAATAGTGGAGGAGAAAATTTTCAGAGAGGGGAAAGCTCTCTGGAGAACTGCAAAGAGTTGAAATGTCACAAGGAAAAAAACCTCAGCTACATAAAAAGTCTGGAAGAACATGTCTATCAAAGGAAAAAGTGCCAAGTCTTAAGAGTGGGAATACGGTTGATGAGCTCAAGAACTAGAAAAAGAGACCATTGTAGATCAAATGAACCAGAGAATTCCATCAGATACTATAGCTACAACAGACTACTTTTTAGCCTTTAACAAGTCAAACTTCTTGTCACCAGGTCAGTGGTTTTGCTGAGCCCTATGCATGAAAGTAAATCAGAGATAAGAAAAGGAGACAGAGGACCAGAATCATGTAGAATGATAGAAATTCATTTTCACTCTTTTCCCAACTGCAATGAGAAACCCCTAAAGGCTGTACCTTTGTGAATAAATGGTTTCGAGTTTTTCCAGTAGCTACTCAAAAGACGGATTGCTGGGTCATATAGTAACTCTATTCTTAATTTCTTTTTTTATTTTGAGAGAGAAAAAGAGAGGAAGTGGGAGAGAAGAGGGGGAGGGAAGAGAGAAAAAGAGAGA